AATTTGCCATTTTTCAACAAACGTATAAACATTTTTTTTTTTAAATCTCCGAAAATAATGTCATTTCAGCAACATTTGTAAATCACCGGTATCGAATTAGAATAATCACGTTTGAGGTAAGGGCCTTTATCCCCCCCCCACCCCCCCCCCCCGATCCACATGTTGTTGGCGGGATTAATCGCAATTGTTCTCCACGTCTTTTCACCCTTTTCTTTTCTTCTTCCTCTTTTTGGTTCCCTTTTAGCTCTCCGCTTACCCTTTCCCTCCCGTTTTCCCCATTTTTTTTTTTTTGGGGGGGATGCAAGGGCCTTCTGCCCCCCCGAACTACATCTTGTTGGGTGGGGGAATCGCAACTGATATCCCCCTCTTTTCAACTTTTTTCTTTCACTTTCCTTCATTCTCTCTTATTCTTTTATGGGGGGGGGGGGGAGGTTAGAGCTGGGAGGCAAGGCCCTTTCGTCCCCCGCCCCCTACCCGGTCTCCTTCTTTTTCCTCCCTTTTTTTTTCCTTCCTCTTCTTTCTTTCCCTTTCTCTCCTCTTTCACTTTCCCTAATTTCCTTCTCTCTCTTTCTCTTTTTTGGCGGGGGGGGGGGGGGGGGGGGGGGGGGGGGGGGGCAAGGCCCGTTCCCCCGTAGTTCCGCCCCTGAATGCACTGTCTTGCTGTTTTGATTTATATATATCATGGATATATAGTTCTTAATCCACCGAACTACACGATAATCCTGCGATCCGATTTTACGAAGAAATAGCGATTATATTAGATAAAGAAATCGAAACACAGATTATCTCCCGATTTAAGTTCTAAACAATGAAAGGAATAATAGCAATAGAACCTTTGGCGCGTTTATAGAAAAAAGTCGGTATCGCAGAAAACCGCACTTATAGTCTCACGTCACGAGGATTTAGCTTCTCCAAGGAATCATAAAATCCTGTTGAAAATGTAGAATATATTAATCATATGACTATTCAGAACGTCTGTCATTTAGATTTTCGTTTTTCGATTGTTCATATGAAATTCGATTATAAATTTTCCCAAAACAAGATCGTAGTCTGAGCGTATAGTGCGCTTTAAAGGCTTTGCCGTTTTCGAAATGCAGCAATTAATTCAAATAAAATACACTGAGGAAATGAAAATGTGGTTTTGAGCTTCGATTTAATCATGATTATGATTCACAATTTGTATTGTATTTTAAGTGCAGGGAACATTAACAACAGATCAATGATCATAAAGAAGGGAATGTAAAACAAGAAATGAAAAATGAGAAAAAGGGGAAAAAAAGAGGAAAGCAGAAAACATTCTCCAACACTACTAATTTCGAATGTCTGTGCTTACACTAAAACAAAAAGAACACTTGAACCGATTATGATTTGAATGGGGAAACAGTCGACCATGTAGTATCTTGATAACATGTAAAGGGAAATCTATCTAGACTTTAAAACAAAAACATTAACAATTCTGCACTGTAATTATTTGTATAAGAAAAATCAATTGTCAACATGTAAAGAAGGCACTGTCAATTCAGATTACACACATTTTAACTATTTAATTTGAATAATACAAAAAATGTGATTATCTGTCTAGATATAAATAGAATTATGTCAATAATCGTATTGAATAACCTTTCATCTGCCAGGAGCGCTGATTAACACACTCACATGTGTGCCTCGAGTGCTAATCGGGAAGAAAATATGATCTGAACTATGTCTTTAATACAAAAGCCTTGCATAGTGACCCATTCCCAGCCTTAATTGAATACAAGACCAACTCCTTTATGACATATATGTGTTTTTCTTACTTGAAATAGTAAAATTGACCTAAGGAACGAAAGAGAAAAGTACACGTCCAGATTTAAAGTATAGAACATGGATATTATGAGAGTGACACACAAAGAGTTGTTAACATATATTTGTAATCTGTTGAATTTGAATCATAAATCATGGTTTAAAGGTCGCCAGAGAACGCCCGAAGCCTGACTTGGTCTATCTACTCTCACTGGAAGAAGCAGACTCTGCTGAGGCAGCGCTTTAGGCAGACTCCGCTGAGGCAGCGCTTTCGGCAGACTCCTCTGAGGACGAACTCTCAGACTCTGAGGACGAGCTGTCAGACTCCTCTGCGGACGAGCTGTCAGACTCTGAGGACGAGCTGTCAGACTCCGAGGACGAGCTGTCAGACTCCGAGGACGAGCTGTCAGACTCTGAGGAATAGAGAAATAATGATACAACATAAGTCTGGGATCTTCTGTTTGTCCACGTGTAATGTATGTGTGAAAATTAAATGATACATGGCTTCGCATATTCATGTTAATAAGGGCGAGAGGAATTGTTTTTTCTTCTAACAAACATAATGTATTGAATGATTATGACAAACAAATTGCCGAGTTAACTACACTACTTGGTTTATATACAGCTCATTTTCGGAATTTACGAAAATATAGTTACCTTATTTAGCTTTCAGATTACAAGACTTCCAAATTATGAACCTTCAAAGAAACAAACCTTTGGCATTACGAATCTACACAGTAACAAACTTGAGGAATTACGTACTGTTTGTAAAACGACATGGAAACTTTTTTAAACTTTGGGGTAAGCTGATAACGACTATTTACTTCCTGTACCTGCTGGAGCAATGCAAACCACTCCGGCATCTTGAGAATGATCACACTGGTAACTGACACCGAAACCAGCGTGTCCACACTCATAGATAGACTGTTCAGCTCCTGTACAGGCAACGTTAGATAGAAGAATAGGATCAGTGCCTTGTCCGGATTGAGCTACTCCTAGAGTTCCAGAAGCCCCCTCGAATCCTAGCATGCCGCAGACAACTTTGGCATCGTTGATATCCCAGTCATCATCACAGATAGTTCCCCAGAATCCGTTAAACAGGATTTCAACCCTTCCTTCTGCTGCGTTGTTTCCACCAACCAGACGTACAGCTAAAAGATTAAATCAAATGCTAATACTTTTGAACATTCTATATTTTGAAAAATGAAACGTAACATTTTGGAATACCGCGTCAAAGCAATGATAACGACAATTATGGGTCTATCACAACCTGCGGTAAAACTTGGTCAGATGTTTTTTAACAAAATATTAGAGTTATTTACCATTTTGGGAAAATGAATAACATACTGGACACACGAATGGATGTTATAGATATTCCCAGCAAAGGACTTAAGAGCACTATTGCCCTCTTAGTGTGGGCAGGCCCACAAAGTACACAAAGGTACATACAGGCCTTTAATTAGCACACCTGGCAGTCCCTCTATTGGTAATGATGGTTACCCTTGTAACATAATCGAAGAGTCCAGATACGTACTGCAGGAGTTTGACCACACTTTGTGAGAAGGGCATTCTACTGTTACTTTTACCAAGAAATAACACGTGTCTGTCTTTTCTCTTCATTTAAAGGTAAGCTTGGTTCATCTTTCAAGTTATTATAATCATTGAATTTTTGAGTGTGATTGGATGTTGAATATTAACTAATGCCAGTTAAAAGTTATTGATTATGTGTGTGACTATATGATGTAGAAGAAGTTCTAAGAAGTATTAATTGTTGAAGAGTGATTTTGAATGACTGTGATTTCTATGCCAGAAAAGAAGTACATTGGAAGAGTATTATTAATTGAACATTATGTAGTTCCATTGTGGTTTGAACTTTGTGATGCAAAGAATAGTAGGTAAAATCATAAACTTTGAATGTTTATGTCAGTCTGTAAGGTTCTCATAGAATGAAGTACAGACCTGTTATACATTCTTATGGAAGTTTATCCTCCGTTTAGTATTGGAGCATGTAGATAGAATAAGAGTTTGTTTAGAGTTGATAAAGAAAAGGTAAATGTTATATCACCAATGGTACTTTCCAGGTTTACAATATATCTTTCAGAACTTACTCTAATTGCAAATTAGGTGAATAGTGTATATACTTTGCAACAGTGCCATTGAGTTATTGTATGATCAAGTGTAGATACAATACAACAGAGTATAATGCATACACTGTATGCCATGTGTAGTAGATCTTCCCCCTCTTCCATCCCTCCCTTATCTCTCTTTGTTCACTCTGTGTGGAGAGGTTAACCCTCTCCCTGGGGCTTGCAACGAACACTCACGTTCACGTTCACGTGATCACGTATCACGTTTTGCGCTGTTTCGTAAAATAGGTGACTCTAATTTACGAAGTGTAGGGTCTACCATTCGTTGTTTTCCACGCCGGTAAAACACGAATGATCACGTCTTCCAAAACGTGACGTGAGTGTTTAATCAATATTTTTATAATTGCAAGCGCTTGTTACTAAGACTAGTCATGACGTCACCGTAATATGTATGATTTGTACTGTGTACGAGTATTAATATCGCCTGCGCCTAGCTAGCTGACAACAAAGTCGGAGAATGGGTGAGTAATTGATTGCAATATGAGTGAATTTAGTAAATTTAGTGATTAATTTTGAAAAATTTGTAATAGTTTTCGTGATCTTCGGTAATTTCTTTTCATTTTGAGACTGTTCTCAACAGATATTTGGGGAAAAGGCTAGGGAAATATTTCTCTTCAAATTGCACTTTGATTTTCATCGTCGTGAAGTAGTTTGACTGCGGTTTGCCGTCATGTCACCCAGTTAGGGCCCGGGGTTCCGGCAGGCCCACCCCGTGGAATTGCGGTGCTCATCTGCAAATTTGATCGTCATCATGAATCTAATTCATCAATTTATTGATTGAATTTAAATCTAGATTTAACTTACCTTGAAATAATCTATGAAGTATGATTTCTTTAATAATCCAAGTGGGTTAATTCTTGTTAAAATCTTTAGTAGACCCTTCTTCTAGACGTGGACTCTGTTGAGGTACTCATGCAGTACCCCCCCCCCCCCCCCACTGAGCAAAATATTGGCCGGCACGATTTTCAAATTTCAGCACACTAAATTTCAAATTTGCAATTATACACGCAATGGCCCAACGTATAAATTTACTCTTACTCATGTATTATACATTTGTTTCTAGGGTCTATATTTCGTATATTGTTTGCATACCTTAATATGTTTTATATAATTATCCATATTTGTTGAATAACTGATTTGTTTGATTGCAGAAAATAAAGTCTTTGAAATGAAATGAAATTGGTGGTGTCAACTTCAGACCAGAATTATCTGTGACCATGGATAATCAAACAACTCCAAACCCTATTTTATTTAGGCCTAGATCTAGATGTAAACCTGGAACTTATTAATAAAAATATTCAAAAAACAACAACTAGGATTTGTTTATTTAATGTTTAGATTTTGTGTGGGTCCAGCATGCTTGTCTAGTTGTCATAACTCATATTCATAAGGAGTCTAAATTAAAGATTTGTTTCCAAATTGTGCAGTTCATGTTGATAAATATATTTTTGTTGGACGTTGTATAAGAAATGACCCCTAGTCCACAATTATGTTTACTTATCTGTAGTCCACCTCTTCTTGTTATAATAAACTAATTCTACTTAGTACTTCTTCGTGCTCATAGGCCATAGAAAGCACTGTGTGAGGTACACGTTAAATATTCCATTAGTTTTACTTTGTACTGTGGTTCATTAAATAGGAATGTTGATTTCCACACCATGTTAAATTTAAGGCCAACCATGACATAAAAAATAGCTATTATGCTTGATCTATTTTATTGTTAAGGAGAAAGGGATGCCTTGATTATTGTATTGGTTTTTTCCTTCTTTTTGTTCCAACAGATTGAAATTAAAGAGCTGAAAGAAGTTAACAACATGAAGCAGAAAGTCCCATGCAGGTAAAATTACCAGGTTATTTAGCACACAAATATTAAACGATCACCTACATGTATTAATTCACTAACAAAGTAAATGGAACTAAGTTGACGTTGCAATTATAGCGCTTAGAGACTTCGGTGGTGAGCGCTTTATAAGTAACATTTTTATTATTATTATTATTATTATTAGCGTATATAGTGGAGGGTATATTTTATTCTAGTTCTGCACCTAGCATACAATTTCAATTTCAATTTCAAATTTATTCACATTTCCAACAAAACATTACAAATAATTATAAGCATTTAAAACAAATTTAAGAAATACATGTTGGAAACAGAGGGGTCCACTAAAAAGCAATGCTTGTACAAGTGTGAACACCTCAAATGAAACTTAGGAATAATGAGTAATTAAATTTACTATTCTGTAATGACAAAAGGAACTACAAAATAGGGGAAAGAAAAATGGGGATGCCAACAGAGACGAGAAAGGGACAAGACAATACTTTACACGACAAAGATAGAAGAACATGGTCATAATTATACAAAGAGTAGACAATGACAAAAAGAAGTGAGAGATCGAGGGTACAGAAAAAAATACTAAATGATGAGCTGCATGTGGGGTTGGAAAGAGAAATATTGATGTCTTTAATTTTTTTGGTTTACAAAGGAAAATGTGTCCTTATTTAAAGGAGGTCCTGTGTGCCCGCCCCCCCCCCCCACTCAGTGTTATTTGGGGTATGCGTATGCGTGTTCCCTCCTTTTGAAAACACCCCCTAAGTCTGGTGTGTAAAGTCAATACGGGCCGGATTTTTGTGTGCTATGAGCCAGACTTTGTGAAAACTACCCCTTTACTGGACATTTTGGGAATACGCATGCGGTCCTGCCGACCCCTGAGTGGGGGGGGGGGGGGGGGGGGACTGGTCTGTGTGTAGAAGAGCCATATCTAATCCACATCCAAAGCACTACATGTAGGGTATACACAGGACCCCTCATTACTTTTTTGTAAGGGCTCCTTTCACTTCTTGAGCAATGAAGATGAAGAAGAACACAAAATAAGATGAAAGTCTGTTTATAGGATGTATTATGGTTGATATGTATCCATTAGTATCAGTTTTAAATTGAAGTACCTACTTTGTTTTCTGTCATGTAGGATGATGCTTCTCTACAGTGGGTGATGAAGGCATGCTGGTTTACAAACTCAGGAGAGGAACAAAGAAGAGATATTGACGGGATCATATCTAGAGATGCGGGCCTACTACACTTCATACGAGCAAGTGTGCTAATATACATGTAGGTACCCCAATAAACTTTTGTGGAACACATGTCATGCAGAAAATTATAGATCTGACGAATAATTGACTGAATATCACAATTGTGATTTAGATTAAAAATTAAATGTCAATATAGATGAAATATAAGTCTACGTTACGTGTGTTTCAGTAGCATTATTTCCAGTATATTCTCTGGTCCAAGTTGTTTGGTCATTTTATGTCCCATACTTAAAGGTAATACACAGTTTTAGTATGGGGTCATAAATTTGGTTCAAATGAACATATTGGACGCATATGAGATCCTACAATATTCAGTGATCGTTGTCGCGGTTGTAATCGAGTCTAAAATTATGAAATTGTAAATAATAAACTCTTTATGTTGTATAGCTCCCTCTCAAGGTCAAGATATACATTTTTCTTGACTAAAATCGACCAATTTGCTATTCTCGTTTGGAAGTTATATATCACATCTACATATTCTGAGATTTTCATGGTCGCAGCTACCATTTGAAATTTATCAAAATTTACCGGGAGCACCAGTAAATATTTATATTCAATTTTTCTCGAAAGCAGAAGTGTTTTAGAGGCTAAGTTTTCTAGTGCTTATAATACATCCACAGGGGCATTCAAATATATCAAAATTGTAAAGAATCACTATCCACCCAATTTTCAAAATTTCGTAAAACTTTGTATTACCTTTAACCGAGTATTATTCAATAATGAGCACGAGTTTACATCACAAGTACATTGTATTACTTATTTCATACCTTGTCTGAACCATACTCCAGCAGTCCTATCGTCTCAATGGGATCATCAGAAATAATCTAAAATGTGGTCAGAAACTAGTCTTGTACGAAAAATAGTTTCGGTTTGCCCAATAGAACCCCAAGTGAATTTCAATCCTTCCTTTTTCTGAGCAGGTATCAGGGTGTGTGTTATTAGTCGTCATTGATTTTCTTATATCTTATTTCATTTTTCCATTCAACAGACTTGGGTTATCACTACAGCCCTTTCTTCTGAAAACTAGGCTACAACTTTAGTGATGAATGCAGAAGACATCTACACGGGACTACGTCTTAAAGATGCCACCCTCATATTATGAAAGAGTACAATATAGATGGGTTTAAACTGGAATATTTACATGATATTTATTTATTATTTGTATTATATGTTTGTAGAATACCACATTCAATAAAGCTAATGAAGTTTATTATCTTGTCAACGTAGAAATAATTAAAGATAACTAATCCTCAATGAATAAACATTAAAATTCTAACAATGTAAACTACCATCTTATAAGATGAAACTGAGGACTGGGCAGAAAGATTCTCCTTGAAATTTGAGTGATAAAGATCTATCAGTCCATATCAAAGATTGAATTAATTAATGATATTTTAATTATAATTATACTTGTTGAAATTCATTTACCTCTATGGACGGGGGGGGGGGGGGGGGGCGGCTTGCTATCCTCTTCCTGGTGCTATTATTACATGGCCCATGTAACGGGTTGCAATAGTGTACACATATGATTATATGTTTATATTAGAAGGACTTAGAAAGTGAAAAGTTTTGAATTATAGCATTAGTGTTGGTGGAAGTAACGGCAGTGTTGATTGTTAATGGGAGGGGGGGGGGGGGGGTTGTTTCCCCAGTGAAATTAACGGTATACCAATGTAAAGTTAATTAAAAAAAGAGAAAACTATTCTTAAAATAAAAATTATACAGGACATGGCCTCCTAACAAAAACCCTGGTACCACTTTGGTGGTGTTTTTTTTTTTTTTTTTTGGGGGGGGGGGGGGGGGGGCAAACCAATTAAAAATTTGTAGTGTTAAATTCAATTGTCTTTAAAAAAAAATTATGTCAATATTGAAATTAAACAATGGTTCACTTTCCTTTTTTCAAGTTAGAAAACTTGAATAAAATGCTAACCCTAAATTAAAAATGTTCTACTTCTAGCAACGATTCTGCAAAGGCTGCAAAAGGTAGAGTGAAGAGAATCCAATTGAAATGTGGACAGTAATGGAGTGAATATGGAATGGTTGATCGTAGTTGATAACGAGGGAATGCAAATGAGTGGTAACAAGTACGACTGAAAGTGAGACAGAAAGGAATTGCAAGAGGTTGTTCAGTCAATGGAACAAACCTTGCAGAAGATAATTTTCGGAGAGAAATAGAGAAAAGGGGAATCATTAAAAAAGGAAAAGGGGCACCTATCAGTAGGAAAAGGGTACTTACGAGAAAGGAAAAGGAGGCATGTGTCATAAGGACATTGATGAGAAAGGAAAGGGGCTCTTATTAAAAAGGTAAAAGGGCACTTATCAAAAATTATAAGGAGACGCGTGACAAAGTAAAGAATAAAAAAGCCTTTTATCAGATATCACAAGAGGCACTTATGAAAAGGGAACAGTGGCACTTATAAAAGGTAAAAGGGGCATCTGTCAGATTTGAATAGGGAGTAATTAACGCAGGTGGTAAGGGGGCGTTTAATAAGTAGGCCTATGTGAAAGAATGTGTTTTTATCTCGAGTTTGTCTCATCATGCGTGGGATCTGTGGGTGCTGGGGTTCCTGAAGCAACCCTATACATGGATTTTCTTCAGTGGGTGCATATAACCCATGGACATTTTTGTAAACCTTCAAATGATGAATTATCATCGAGCCCCCCCCCCCCTCATTTTTTTTTTGTCAGCTCGTGACAAACATATAATCCAGATGAAATAATTTCTTCACAGCATATCAGTGGCGGATCCAGGGGGGGGGGCGAAACGGTCGCGGCCCCCCCCCCTTATTGGCGGCGCAAAAAAAAGGAAGAAAAAAAAAGAGGAAGAAAAGAAGAGAAAAAAAGAAAGGAGAAGAGGAGAAAAAAAGGAGAAGAAAAAAGAAAGGAGGAGAGAAAGGAAAAAAGGAGAGAAAAGAAAGAGAAGAGAAGAGAAAAGATAACGAAATTATTGAATAGAGGGGGGGGGGCCGGGCCGGACGCATAAAATCTCGAGCCGCGGATTCAAAGTTAAACGTTAAGAACAGCCCCTGCGCTACAAAGGTCATCACTCTGAAGTGAGAAATTTGAAAGGGCACAATATTTTGGGTGTCTTTTAAATAGAAGTTATATACTCAACAGTCAAATTCTAAATTAACGGTAGGGCCGCTTCACAACTCTTATTTTGCCCTTCATTTGGATTCAGCTCATACCAACTCGCTTGTGCTTGTATTTGAACTCATATTGGTAGTAATCATGGACAGGGGCGCGCGCGGCAATCCTGGGCCCGATAGGGGGACACGTCCCCCAGGAAATTTAGAAATATAGCTAGAAAGAAATATAGCGAAAAGAACGTACATATTGGGCTCAGGGATTTTCTAGAATGCATAATTTCAGCATTCAACATTGAAAAAATCTCGCTTGGTCGCTACGCTCCGGCCGGCCGCGGCCCTCGCCCGATAACACAAAACTATGACGCTCCCGGCCGTGATTTATCCATGGTTGGTGTAAATAGATCTTTTTTCCATTTCATTTCTACTAACCTAATTGTGTGCCATCACAATCATGATTGTTTAATTTTCCCTTTAAAGCAGGCGCGTAGCCAAAGGCGGTAGGGGCAGTAAGATGACATAGGACGAAAAAGGAGCAGACAAAGAAACATTTTTGAAAATTCTGACACGTCGAGAACGGTACGGCGCCAGGGGGGGGGGGGGGGGGGGGGCCCAACCCCCCAAAAGGGTAAAAATCACGTGATTTTACATGATTTTTTTTCTCAAGGGGGGGGGGGGGGCGGGCCCCCCGGCCCCCCCCCCTGGATCCGCCACTGGGTCAAAGCTTCCGCGCTTTGCGCAGGCGGGATGAACCTGAATTCAGACAAGGATTAAGAGTCGAGAATGGTACAACGAATCATCTTCTCTAATAATTTCAATTTAAACTATAAAAAGTCAAAGCTTCCGCGCTTTGCGCGGGGGGGGGGGGGGAAACTGAATTCAGACAAGGAATACGAGTCGAGAATGGTACAACAAATCGTCTTCTTTCTCTAATAATTTAATGAAACGTCAAAGCTTCTGCGCTTCGCGCGGGAGGGGGAAAACTGAATTCAGACAAGGATTAAGAGTCTAGAACGGTACAACGAATAGTCTTCTTTCTCTAATAATTTAATGAAACGTCAAAGCTTTCTTCGCGCGGGAGGGGGAAAACTGAATTCAGACAAGGAAATAGGAGTCGAGAACGGTAACACAAATCGTCTTCTTTCTCTAATAATGAAGAAAAGGTCAAAGCTTCCGCGCTTCGCGCGTAATTAGGAGGGGGTGGCAGCGAGCTGCCCGAATATGAGTTGTTTTATATCTTTTCTCGTTTATTTTGGTGATAAATAACACTTTCACAATATTATGGTCAAATTGTTGCTCGCTCACTAGCCGAATTGTGAAACCAGAAAATTAATTTTTCGGGCAAGAGGCTATAGCCCCCCCCCCCCCCGATGAAAATGTCCAAAATTGTACCGGTATGGTGCTTCTAATATGACCTTGAAAAAACGGTCTGCGCAATTTTGGAATTTCCGCCCCCCCCCCCCCCCCCCCCCCCCCCCCCCCCCCCCCCCCCCCCCCCCCCTATTGGAAAATCCTGGATCCGCGCCTGGCATATGAGTAGGGAAACAAAATGTGGAAAAAGAAACCAAAGATAAACTTTAAGAAAAAAAATAGAGAGAAAGGAAAGAAATAGGCCTATTATCTTGCTCCTTTTCATTTCAATTTTCTTGCAATTTATTTATTTCTATAAATCTTCAGCCTTCTCCACTTGCATCTCTCTCTTTCTCTCTCTCTCTCTCTCTCTCTCTCTCTCATTATGGGATAAAAAAATAGCATATGAACCTACTCATGTAAAGCATAATTTTTCCTATCGGTCTGTATTAATTTGAAATTATGCGAGCCAAATATTGGTACGTAATGGTGACCAGCAGTGACGTAATAGGGGGTAGTGCAGGGAGGGGCGAGTTTCCCCCTCCATCCTCCGCGAAGCTTATGACGTTGCATTAAATTATTAGAGAAAGAAGACGATTTTGTTGTACCGTTCTCGACTCTTAATCCTTGTCTAAATTTAGTTCCCCCACCCACCCCCTTCTGCGCAAAGCGCGATTCATTAAATTATTAGAGAAAGAAGACGTATCGTTGTACCGTTCTCGAAAATAATCTTCGTCTGAATTCAGCTCCCCCTTGATATCCCTCCTGCGCGAAGATCGAAAGCTTTTACGTTTCAGAAGACGATTCGTTGTACCGTTCTCGGCTCTAATCCTTGTCTGAATTCAGTTCCCCCTTCCCTCCCGCGTTTTATGTTCCATTAAATCATTAGAGAAAGAAAACGATTCGTTGTACCGTTCTCGACTCTAATCCTCGTCTGAATTCAGTCCCCCCCCCTCCCGCGCGAAGCGCGGAAGCTATTACGTTTTATTAAATCATTAGAGAAAGAAGACGATTCGTATTACCATTCTCGACTCTTATCCCTTGTCTCAATTCAGTCCCCCCCTCCCGCGCAAAGCGCAAAAGCTTTGACGTTTCATTAAAATTATTTAAGAAAGAGGACGGTTCGCTGTTACGTTCTCGTCTCGTAATCCTTGTCTCAGTTCAGTCCCCCCTCCTGCGCGAAGGCTTTGATATTTCATTAAATTATTAAAGAAGACAATCGTTGTACCGTTTTCGACTCTTAATCTTTGTCTGAATTTCAAAAGTGTTTTTTGTCTGCTCCCTTTTCTTCCTACGTCCTCTTTCTTTACTATCCTCTCTTTTTTTGTGGCCGGCTTTTTTTTGGTGGGGGGGGGGGGGGGTGGCGCCCCCACCGCCCCCTAGCTACGCGCCTGCTGTCAGAAGAACATATTTTGATACCTTGTAAGGCAATAAATTACGGTCAGATAAGCATTCAGGGTCCCGCCTTAGGGCCCCTGGTGGGGTCGAGGGTGTGGAAACCCCAGAAACTCTGAGGTTTTAGGCATTTGATTACGGTCAGATGAACATATTTGTATACCTTATTTGTG